ACACACACACACACACACACACACACACACACACATTTGCTTCTATTTCAGATAACTTTCAGAAACAATGGAAATCACCGTTTTCCTTTCTGACCAAGTCATACATTGAGCAACCCCAAGTAGTTTCTTGCTTCAAAGTCACAATCCATTCTCCAATTTTGAAGAATATGCTTTAACTTATTTTGGCACAATTAAAACTCACCAATCCATAAAAATAATTTATTAAAACAGTATCTGAGAAGCTAGAATGCACTTTCAAGGCGCAGTGCTGAGGCATGGGGGTTGTTGCACGGGTGCCCTGAGGGTACCGTGAGGCCCAATGCAGAGCTGCAGCAGGAGAGGCAGCTGGCGGTGGCGTTGCCAAAAGCTCGCACGTATCCAGTGTTGTGCCTCAAACCCAAGGCTAAGGGGCGATAAGATGAGATAAAGTGCAGGCCATTTCTTCCTCTGCACCTCTGCCACGGGAACTGTGATCTAGAAAATTCTAGCAGGGTCCCTACCTCTTCTAAGCTATCACTGATAACTCAGTGGCTGACAATATGGAAGGACTTAGAATTGTTGGCCTCCAAAAAAGGGAAATTCCAAGAGAAGCAGACTCAGTAAGAAAGGGTAAAGAGACCTGGATTAACTGCACCTCTGCCACTCCCACTGCTTGGCTTTGAACTTGACCAGTGCATGGTTTGTTCAGCAGCAAACTGGGGATAGTTTTACAGCTAGATGAGATGATACAGAGTTGGCAAGAGTGTCCCCTTGCCTTCCTCCCCCTCCCAGGAAACTATTCTGTGTGGTTTGTGTGGACTTCACACCACTCCGAAGCTGACAGCTCATCAACAAAAGGCCTGCCTAGACTCGGCCACCTGACTGGCAGCAGTTCTGTGACTCTCTTGTTTCTGTCATTTAACTGCATCAGAAAGATGATAAGATGACTCTTTTTCCCAGTCCTGAGAAAGCTGGCCTGGGAGGCCCCTTTCTCATTATCCAGGACAAACAAAACACAAATCGCCACTAGATGGCACTGCTTGTCGTTAATCAGAGATGAGGGACTCCTTTCTGTTCTGGGAGGGAGGGGCCATTTCCCTGTACTGCACGGAGATCTGAGAACCGAACCGACCCCACCTACGAGCTGGGGGATTTCCCTCCACAGGTTGTCTTTATCCAGAGGTGATTTTAAAGGAATAGATTGTGTTTGGATGTCGATGTTCAAAGGCTCCCAGGCAGAAAATTCCATTTCAAAAGAAAGTGTGATTAATGAAGCCACATAAATCCCGCAGGGCTGGAGCTGAGTCAGGGCTCACACCACACAAATCAGAGACTCCGAAGCCTCTCTCGCTTTCTCCTGTTCCTGTTTCGAGGCCGTTGCCGCCCTCGCTTCCTCTTTTCTCCTTTGTCTTTTCGAGAGCGCACATATCCCCAAATCCAAAACAGGAGGGATTTTCACCAGAACTCCAAGCTGCAGCTGGCTTCAAGCTTGGGCCTGGTCATTTCCCCTTTCTTCTTCCCAGAGAGTTCCAAAGGCGACAGCAGAGGCTGTGACAACCGCAGCCTCACTAACTGCCTGTCCCACCGGAGTCAGCTCTGGATCATCACATAACCCAGTCTTACTCAGAGACAAGACTGAGAGGGAGGATAATGTATGTTTGTACTAGAAGGTTTTTAGATAAAGTCTTGGGGTGTTTTAGAAGGCTTCACCAGGAACTTTACCCCCAAATCTGGAGATGTTGTTTCTGTCTCTTTGGAACCCCCCACTTGTATTAGTTGCTACACGTGCCCTGTGATCTCCTTGAGCTTTGCCATTCAGCTCTACACCCTTGGCTTTCTCTCATACCTGGTTCACACACCTGTGCCTTCCTGTGCTGAGAGTCCTCTCAGTGCCCTAGACAGGCAGGTGCCTCCTCTGTCCAAGAATGAATCCAGTTCCCAGGGTGACAGCAGCGGCAGGAAGGTACCAGGCCATCTAGAATAGGGGCACAGAACAGTCTAGTTGCTAAGTATTTGGGTCCTAGAGTCGGGTGCCTATATTTAAACTACAAGCTACTTGATGGGTAACCTTAGGCAAGTTATTTGGTCTCTTCTCGCCTCCCTCTGTCCATCTATATGATGTGACTGATAAATGCATCCTACAGAGGGCATGTGTGGACAGCCTGAGCTAGTACAACAACTGTATTGAGGTCAGTGCGAATGAAAATACTTACTATTATCATCAGTATTGGAATTTGTTTTTTACATTTTTTTAAATTACTGTGTGTGTGTGTGTGTGAACAATGTGTATGTTTTGGCATGTGCACCACGACATGGCTATGGAGATCAGAGGACAACTTTTTAGAGTCGATTCTCTCTTTCCACCTTTATGTGGGCTCCAGAGATCCAATCAGGTTTTCACAGCGAGCACTTTTACCTGTTGAACTTCCTCGACGGCCCATAATTATTATAATTATCACCATTATAATATCCTCGGCACAATGGCGAGTAAGGAGGATAGGAGATTGAACAACAGAGGCAATATCTTGGCCTTAACAGAAAAAACAAAACTCATTTAGCATTTACAATCCTGTAAAAGATTATGAAAAAAAAGTCACAAGTATGCTAACCATATGCACCACCATTTAACCCCTAGCTGGGAACCTAGAGAAATCTTCCTTTGGTCACCAAGATCCCAAAAGACTGAGAAGTGGTCTTTACAGGGGTAACCACCAAATATCCAGTGCTCTGGCTCTTGCCTGAGAGGCACAGAAAAGAGAGACTTGTTCTTATCTCCAAGTCTCAGCTTGGCTCCGAGGCAGTGTGATCTGAAGGAAACTCAGCATCACTGTATGACTTGAGGAACTTGAATCTTCAGGAGCTGTCTGCACATCCAGGATACTTTTGAGTGCCTGTGACATGGCAGAGGCACATGCCACAACAATCAGAGAAGAAGGCAAAAAGAGACAGGACCCTATGTGGGTGTTCTCTGAATGTCTAGGTTCCTCTCAGGCCAAAGGGGTAGAGAGGAGAGGAGATAGCCATTCTACTACATCCAGCAGGCTTGATAGTTCAGTCAGGACAGGAGAGTACAAAATGCATGTAAGTATTGAGAAAGTAAACTTCCCTTTTTCTGCTTTTAAGAAATAAAAAAAAAAATACCTGGTTTAACCCATGTGCTCCATGCACACTGTGGGAAGCATTGGATAACATAACGATGAAGACAGAGCTCCTAAGACCTTAACATCTACAGGAGGAAATGGACATCCAAGTGGGTCGTTATAATCCAACAAATTGTGTCATCTGAAAGGTACAGGAAAAGCCTTGGGAGAACACAGGACCTATGGCCTGCATAGAGACCCCAATGATAGAAGAGGACATGCATGCAGGATGAGCAGCGAGAAGCATGCCATGATTACCAACGTTCTCCAGTGTGAACAGAAGGCTCTGTTTTCCCTTTAAGCTGAGTTTAAACTTTTCCCAAGCCACAGGTCAGGAGGAATTGGGACTGCTCAAAGACTGGACTGCTCCCTTATTCTGCAAGCCAGCTTCGTCCCGAAAGCATTTATCGAGTAGAAAGGCAGAGGAGGAAGCAAATGGTTGAGTAGAGAGAAAAGAAAGAAAGGCGACCATTACCTGGGAAGAATGACTGCCATGAACTCCGCCAGCAAACCTTACTTCTTTTCACTTTCTCCTTTAAGAAGGAAGATGCACAGGTAAATTTCCTGTAGAGCGAGCGTGTCCTGAGATTCAGGGCCTGAGCACATTTCACTCATTCATCTAAAAGAATGTTTATTGAATGTATACTGAGTGTACTAAACTGGGTGCTATTCTGTGCACTGGGGGGACAGAATGATTGAAACTAGGCACCTGCAGTGAAGTGACTCCTTCCCAAGAAACTGGAAACGATGACAGTACTTTCAAGCTTTTGTCACAGGTTGGCTGTCCCGCAACTGGGCTCATAACAAGTGTCTCCTGAACACCAAAATCAGGATGCAGCAAGGTCTGAAATTCCAAACGAAGACTCCCACACATACACAAGACAATACAGTTCGTTTCTCTTGTTGCTCTTTCCTGTCTCATGAGCCCCACTCTTCAGGTGTGTAGGCAAATAAGTAACTAAATGTTCAGGTAAATTTTAGTCTAATCCACAAGTAGAAATGCGCCACATGGCTAATGCTTGGTCTTTCCAAACGTAGTTCAGTCTCAACTGTTCCTTGACGCTTTTCCCCAGTTCACATGGAGTGCTGAGTGGGGGCAGGGAAGGGGCAGTAGGATCCACAGATCCTCAAGGGGGCACAGAGCACACGCAACACCCCTGTTGTGGCAGGCATTGTGCTCTGGCTTTGTGCTCCTTTGTCAGGGTCTACTGGCCCATCAAGACTGACCCCACCTCTCTTCATCTTGGCCCTCTGACATTCTAGGAACTAGTTGAGTGTCCTCCAAGCCATATTCAAAGCCAGGGAAGAGCTGTGAAATTGAATTCCAAACATCAACTCTGCCTATTCATACCACAGGTCTCTTAGGAAGGAACCAGCCACTCCGGCCCCTCCATATTTTACTATTACTCATTCCTCTTTTGTAGACAACAACCTAGAAGGGGTAATCAGATCCAGTTTGATAAATTCACTTTCCACATTCTCTCCACAACCATCCAGCAAATGTTGCCAGTATCAAAATGTACTCATCCTCCTACTTACCCTTTCTACCTAGATAATCCCTTATGTAAAATTCTATATGGTCCCAAAAACTTATGCCCAGATGCATCTAATCAGCAATAAAAGAATTAAAAGCAAAAAACTGAGAAAAGCCTCCTCCCCTTCTCTATGAAGCCTGTCTTATTGAAAAAGCCAAGAATTTGTCTACCCCTAGCTGCTGGGCCAGTGAACTCTATGGCCCTGGTCCATGAGATACAGCAGTGAACAATGATTAGTGAAGGAAATTACATTCATATATTTAATATCTACAAAGAGCATACCACTTTTAAGATAATAGAATTGTATTTCTTTGTCCTCTAATTGAGTAGTTCAAGGAATGCGGCTCTGCAGGTTGCCTCTGGGTAAACTGTGGCAAGCTTTTCAAGCTCAAATAGGTTTTGGGAATGCTGAGTTAAACAAAGTTAACTCCGTTTATTTAATGTGAAACCATCAGAGCCTTTAATATGCTAATGTGTTCTATGAATTTTGAGATGGTGTTTCCAGGCTTATTTGTCCAGCGTACACTTGTTTATAACTCCTGGAAGCTGTGATCTGCAGAAGTCAGGAGTGGAAGACCTTGAAGAGCTGTTGTCCTTAAAACTCTGAATGTGTCCATTGCTACATTCCTTCCTCATGAAGTAAGCACAGGCAAGCTTCAGATGAGCTTCTGCTTCCGATCTGCTTCCCGCCTTTTTTCACGTCCCCCAGCCTGGGCTTGCTTTCCGGCTACGGCTACCATGACATCACAGCGGCAAGCATGAAGTACCTGGAAGCTAGGCAGTTAATGACTAGAACTTAAAAGATTTTGTCCCAAAGCAAACGAGCAGGTGGGGGCCCTCCCTGCCCCCCTTACCAAATGGAAAAAAAAAAATCAAAGGACCAGATTCCCAAGCTTCTCTGGGAATTCTCTAATGGTGATGCCGACCCGGGTTACCCTTGTGAAGGATGGGAAATGGAAGATGGCTCATAGTTAAGGAATGCAAAATAAGGATCTCATGACTTTCGATATAAAAATACATATGGTGTAAGATTACTGCCTAGTTCCCCACAATAAGAAAGAATGCTAATATTCCCTGCATGTGGGAACAAGGAAACCGAGCTGGGTAGACAGAAAGCCTGGATCAACAGGAACGTTCTGGCCAAACAACTTTGAGGAGAACATAATGATCTTAAAATAGATCCTGTCAAAGGAATATTACCTAAGGAAAAAATAACCCGAACTCAAGGGACATGGATGAGTTTCTAGGGAGGACAGTGATGGATGAGAGGAAATGACAGGGAAAGGCCACAGACAGCCAGGAGAATGGGCCCAGTGACCCCTTTACCTTCCTCAAACTTTTCTTCTGTCCTTGTGTAAATAGCGAACCGACCTGACACAGAGTAAAGAGTGTATGTGGACGGGGGTGGTGGACGGGGGTGGAGGGCAGGCTTCTCGTTCAGCCACATGTGGGTTGAAAAAATATAACTAACTAGCGAAGTAAAAAAAGTCATCCTGTTGCACATATCTCTGTGGAAAGGGGATTGATTTACATGAGTGATGTGGGCATGAGAAAGCATCCTACAGCCACAGGAAAGCAGCAGGGAGCTTCAGAGCCCCAGAAGGAGCAGATCTTCCTGTACATTCTGGGCTTTTGTGTCCAGGAGCAATAAAATGTTCTTTAAAATTGAAGGCGAACACTTTCTGTTTCTAACCCTTGCCATTCCTGTCCCTCAGATCTTTCCCAAAGTAAACCATTATGTATGTACTATTTTCCAAGTCAAGTATTTCTGATGACCAGTTAGTAGCACTCTGAATATAACTGTAAAATACTGCTGCTGGCATGAGGGCATACCTTTTCCTAACAGAAGATTCAGTCAAGATGGGTAATATGAACTTGCATTAATCCAGACATCTCTTAAAATATGAAGTAAAAGTCATCCATACTAAGGTGACTGCTTCTGGATACCCAGAACTTTGAAAAACGCCTGACTTCTTCCAAACCAGATTGACCATTTAGGCACCATTATTGTCCATGCCTAGCACCCTACCCATTATTCTTCCTGCTTTCTACTGCTCCACAACACAAAATTATAGATGGGCGAATCCAGGAGAACATTGTTCTGTACCCCTTTGGCCACAAAGGTGGTCACTTGATTCAGTCTAGGTGGATTTGGTACTGTATTTTGGGTATGGCCAAATGGCCAAGTCTAAATCAACCAAAATCCTCCTCCAGATGTCTTGGGTAGAAATGAGGGGATATTGTTTCTTCCAAGACCTTAAGAAGTCTTACTGTCTTTCTAAATCTCAGGAGTTTGAGACA